ATGCGCGTGACGAGGGCCGCCCGGAGCCTGTGGGGTGGATGTCTGGCGGCCACACCCACCGCGAAGATCTGCCGGCGGAAACGGAATCCACTCTTTCCGGGAAGGGCTGATTGAGCGGTTGCGGACCGCGTGTGTGCGAGGGGCGGCCCTGGAGACTTAAAGAGGCCGACGCTCTCCCGGGGGAATCTTGCCAAGTACCATTCCAACAAACTTCATGTTTTACTTGATTATGGTACAGGCTCGTGTAGGGAAGGCCGACCCTAAACTCCAGATCCTCTGTGTCCCCATGACTGGTAGTTAGAGGCATGCACCACCGTGCCACTAAGTTCATTTTTACAAAGCTTATCTTTTCAGAGATGCACACAGGCAGTTCTCGTCTATTATTAATCGCAGTTTAATAGATGAGATAGGTTAGATTGGTTTATCAAACTCGTATATGGGATGTGGAGAAACCCAATACCAGGTTGTTAGCTCCCAAGCCTTGCCTCTCAAACTTTTTCAGGCCGTTAGAAACCTCATTTACGTTTTCCCAGGTGATTAGCCTCATCGAGGAAATGTCTTTTACCTCAGGAAACTCGGCCCGTGGCACGGTGCCTGTATGTATCAGGCATTCGTTAAATATTTGTTGAGTGATTCAGCTATGTCTGCTCAAGACCTATTCATCATTCATAATGTCAGTAACACCCTCCTGAAAAATCCAGAACACGGCTTTTTTTTGTTTTGTTTTTTGAGACAGGGTTTCTCTGTATTGTATACTCACGCTGTATGCCAGGGTGGCCTCGAACTCACAGAGATCCACCTGCCTCTGCCACCTGAGTGCTGGAATTAAAGGCATGAGCCACCAATGCCAGGCTCAGAACAGGGCATTTTACCTCAGGGTTTTTGGTGGTGGTGTTTGGTTGGTTGGTTAAGTTTGTTTTTTGTTTTGTTTATTCCCTCCCGAGTTCTGAGATTGAAGGTGTGTGCCCCTGGAGGCGGAGGGTAGTTGTTACAAACAACATACAATGAATATATAGGGGCTAGAAATAAACCTCAATGCAAAAACCCCTGCCTACCATGGATACTAGGTATTGAACATTCGACCTAGCACGAGTCTTGTACCAGTCAGCTATACTCCCAACCATTTTGTTGTTTTTGAAGGGACCAGCTTCCCTTTTGGCAGCCATAACGGCCAAACACCGTGGTTCTATGTACGACCTTGTCCTAGACACTAGACAAGGAACCAATCAGAAGTTAGCTGGTGGCTCTATGCTTTACGACCCTGGGTGTGCTTTATGGACAAGCGCACAGCAATGACGCACAAAGTATAGCAACCACCCTGGGAGGGCCTATGGGCCATAACAACCAGTTGACCAATCAACACAGGGCAAGCCCTCCAAGCCTAGAGGCACACCAATCCTGAGCCTGTGCGTACCCCTAGACACTCCCCTTATGCTGTCCTATAAGATCTCTTGGGAGGCCCTAGGAGCCGTCTTTTGTGAGCCATCCGCCATGGCGGATGGGTGAAAGACCCGAGCTAACAAGGGGTTAGCTCGTTAAATTACAATAAAGCCTCGTGCAGTTTGCAGCAAGCTCTCGAATCTGCCTGGTGATTGGGGTGACCGCAAACGTGGCCTGGGACCCCAGGTACTTGAGTTTTCCGGGGGTCTAACAGTTTTTACTTTGAGACAGAGTCCCACTAAATTATCCAGACTGTTCATGAATTCATTCTGTAGCTTAGGCAGGCTTTGAACTTGCCATCCTCATGGCTCAGCCAGAGTACCCAGGGTTACAGTCCTTCACCAAGAAGGCACAACTCTAGAGGTAACCTATTGTCTAGCATGTAAGAGATTCCCTACATGGGTTTCAGCAGTTCGTAGGTCCTCTTTTTCTATATTGGCAATATTTTCTGTATCAAAAGCTGTATCCTGGTGTGCCCTAGTCATCTTAGCACTGAGGAGATTCAAAGTTTAATGTTACCCATAAGTTCTGCTGTGGAGCAAGTTCCAGGCCATTCTTGTTTGTATCAGACCCTGTCTCAAAACAGCACCAACAATAGCACAGGTGGCTACGGCACATGCCTTTGATCCCAACACTCGGCAGGCAGAGTTAGTCAGATCTCTGTGAGTTCAAGGACAGCCTGGCCTACAGAGTGAGTTCCGGGATACCTAGGGCTGTTTCAAGACAGAGTAACCCTGTCTTTAAAAAAAAATAAATAACAATAAAAAGTGTGTGTGTGTGATAAATGTGAATTCCTCTTTTGCTTTTTGAAAAAGGGTCTCTCTTTGTAGCCCTGGTTATGGTGGAACTTTGTATGTAGACTTAAGACTG